ACAAAGCCGCAACGGTCGAGACCGTTGTAACTCAGTTGTAAGTCACAATGTCTCTCTGTGTCCCGCTCTCTTTCTCTCCATCTTGCTTTCCCTGCTCTCTCTCTCTCTCTCTCTCTCTCTCTCTCTCTCTCTCTCTCTTTCTTCATCTTTCTTCCTCTCATTCTTCTATTTGAAGGGAAATAGATTCATTCGCGTTTCGTAGTTTTATCCATTATGTATTTAACGATGCGGAAACTTCCACGCGGCGCCGATAAATAACGAACAATTATTCCTCGCTCGCTGCAAACTCGCGCTAAGAAAATCTCGCCTGCGCGTTAGTCAAGCAGCAAATTCATGGACCTGGACTCACCGATTGCAATTCTCGCTTGTGAGCGTGCATAGGAACGTAGCACCGTTGGATATAATATTTTCGAGACGACTCGCGTCGGGAACAATTCGCATGCGGAATACGATTCCCCGAGATTCACACTCAGTGTGTGTTTTGTATATTCCTTTATGGCTCCACACTGAGAGAAATTATTCGATAAGAAATTAATAAACGGATATTTCTGATCAAATTCCGATAAATTTTTGTATCCGATTAGATATTTAATTAAATTTAATCGGATATTTCGGATCATAAAGATATTTCTTCAGATAAACCAAGCAAACAATTATGAACCGATATTTCTCGGATCGGATGTGATTGGATACAAAAATTCATCGGTATTTTGACCGGAAATATTTGTTTCTTAATTTTTTATCAAATAATTTGTCTCAGAGTAGCGTTAGAAATATCGGGATAAGACTTTAAACTCGTTTTAACTCGTTCGTTATCTATGTCGTTCTTAGATGATTGTTATTATACTCGGGTTTGCTCAGGTGTCTTGGAAATCGGGTGATACCATTACAAATCACTGTCAGTATTTATAATTACGCATCGGCGCGCACACCAAAACGACCATTCGGTTAATTCACCGAGACCATAACTCCTTCCGCCGGCCGCTCTCGTCATCGCTTCCGGTTTATGGCCCTCGAATGTGGTGTCCATCGTGTATGCGTGCACGTGATGCCGGACGTCAAACTTTAACAGGCACGTCCTGCGTGCAGGACACGCGGTATCCCATGCACACGTAGGCGTGGGCGTTCATACGTATGGTGCGTAAGGAAAGAGGGGAGAGTGCCGTGAAAGCAGTTTCACGTAGACGAAGCAGTCGTAGTGCGCGCTCCAGGTAGTAACCCACCTTTATGACCGACGTTCCTGGAAAGTGCGTTTTCCCCGTCGCCCTGCTGCATCGCGTGCAGCGCTATCCACGCAGTTGTAGTAAAGGCGAGGGAGATCGCCTCGTGGAGGCCACCCCGTGAGATTAAGGGTTGCCTTCATAATCATAATTTTAACGACACCCCGCATGATAAAGCGCCGGCGGTATACGCCGGTCCGTGCTTAATAATAAGTTTCTGAGCTCTGCGCCGGTGTTACGGTTCTCGCGCTACTACCCGAGGAACATCTATCTGCCATTACATCGCAGTTACTGTAATTAGTATTTCGGTATTAGAGAATTATCGTTTGATAATTTCTTTCTCGTAGAAGAATGGCCTACCCGTTGAGTGCAAGATTATTAAAAGGCTCGTTGGGTTAGGAAGTCATTTTGTCGGTCGATTGATTGAGCAATGACTCGCGTTTCGATTCACGTCGGGGAGAAGTCACACTACGCGCGATTACCTGCGAATACACGGAGCCGGCCATCTACACTGTCGCTGGTCTTAGCATATCGTGGAAGTATGATGTCCACAGTCGGTTTATTCCACAGTCGGTTTATGACTCGGCTGTGTTTCCGGAAATAAAACGCACGGGAACGGCACCTGCTTTCAAGAAATCGCCGCGTCCTACGCCGGGACGTGGTGGAACCCTCCCGAATCCGTCGGAAATCACGACTAGAGTTATTTCCACGACCGTAAAACGGCCGGCCAGGGAACGAGCGTTGCGCGAATTCCGGAGGAATTGTCTCGCCGACGCTAAGAGCAAGAGAGCGAGAGAGAGAGAGAGAGAGAGAGAGAGAGAGAGGGGAGGGGGAAAGAGGGGAGAAACGCGAAACATGCATAATCGCGAATATAATACGTGTCCGCGCGAAATTGGCACACGAAGCACAAAATCAGCTTTTAACCGACTTCAAAAAAAAGGAAGCTCCCAGTTTATTCTGTATGTACGTTTGTTTTTTTATGTATATTCTCTTATAATATATTCTTTTAAGAACCGTTAGAGATATTGAGATAAAACTTTTTTCAACTTGTTCAGTATATTATTTGCATTAGTGCCGTTACTTGAGTTTGTCCTGATTATCTCAAAATTGAGCAATTTTATTGCTTTCTTGAAAATTCAAGAACATCTAAGGATAAGGACAAGACGAAATTTTAATTTTTTACTGATTTCGAAAGTAAATTTTCTTCTCAATCGACTTTAATAACAAACTTTAAAAAATAAATATAATATAATATAAATATAATATAAAATGTAAAGTGCGAAACAAAGAAGCTTAAAAGAATCTCCTTCAGAAACCTGGAAAACCCCAAAAAGTATGAAATATAATTTTGAATTAATAATTTCTTATATATCTACAGTTCTATCCTAATATTCTAAAGATATCGCCGCGAAAGAAACAAAAATTAGGTATGTAACTAATTATATAACTGATTATATAACTAATTATATAACTAGAATTATATAACTGAGATACATAATTATATAGAGATTATATAGAGAATTATATAGAGATATATAATAAAAAAATATGATTATTCATTGAATTAAAGATAGGTTTCTGTTAGAATGTTAAAATAGGATTGTAAGTACATAGGAATACTGATTTTAAATTATTTTTATATTTTTGAGAGATTTTAATTACAGATACTGCCGTTATCCCATTTCGCGTCGTCTCGCTATCGAGTTACGCAGACTCTGCTAAGAAGTAAAAACACTCTCGAATCATCTTCCGTTAAAGACGACCGTGAATTTGCCGATTAAACATTCAAAACATGTTACCATTCGTCAACATCATTGGTTGTGCGCGGCAATGCGTGCAGCATGAAATTATCGCGCTTCATACGTTTTACTTTATTACGGAAGCGCGACGGAATATCGCTACCGGTGTAAATACATTTATGTGCTGTTGGATGACGTATTAGATATTATTATTCTAAAAAGATCAAAAGGCGCGTAGAAAAAGTGGTTTTAATATTTCGTGGAACGCGTTATCTATCTACGATGATTCAGTCGTGCTAATTCTATGTAATCATCCATGTACTCACAATATAAATGTATATAATTCACGCACCTTTGAGTTTTTGCGAACATTTTGCCGGCGAATAGTTTTTTTATACTTCGTCGCGAGCACTCATTAAATTTTCCGCGTTTAATTGTACATTAAGTATGCCGAGCATTTTCACTTTGCAATTATGTCCGTGCGATCGTGTAAGTAACTCGATCGACGTATAATCTACCGCACGTAAGGTTTTACCGCATAAGGTAAAGTCCGCAACAGCATCTATCTGGCTCATTCGAAGTCCACGGTCGCAGACGTCATTCGGATAATTGGAGCTCTCGATTTATATCGAGGCCGTCAAACCAAACGTCAACCTTGGCCCACTTCTTACGGAAATAAAGTTAATTCAGCGACATTTTCCAACACAGTTGCTATCCGAACCAATAATTACCGTGTCTCATTCTGCAATAACACGACGCTCCGAAATCATGAGCGTTGTTTGCGCGTTGCTGAGTTAGCGAAACTAGTTATTGCTCAGTTCAGTTAAGAACAGCAATGCTGGATCGGCTGATCGATAAGTCGCGTACACTGAAATATACATTAATTGGAACGTGCCGTACAATATCCACGGTAAGGGCTTTTGCACATGAATTGCTGTAAACATAAATATAAGACGTACACTTTAGTTGAAGGGGCCAATCAGAATTTTGCTATAGTCTTGTATATGTAGAAGACGACGGAGCCACTGATCATATGCAAAAGTAACTTGTTGCAATTCTAAGCAAATATTCGAGTAAATCATAAAATCGTAAAGTTATAGCTTACGATAAAGTTATAGCTCAATTGTAATGTTGGTAAAATTCATAAACCGTAACTTTATTGACAACTTTCAGTTAGTCGTAAGATTTATGAGAAATCGTAGATATTTATGAGTTATCGTATGAAATACGGTCCGCATAGAATTACAGATCTACTCATAAGTTTTTACGATCAAATATGATAAATCGTTATGATTTTTACCTGTCTTATGAATTTTACGAAAACAAGTTACGAGTTTTACGATTTTGTCTAGAATTGCAGTATAAGATTTATACTGAAAGAAATTATTCGATAAAAAATTAACAACGGATGTTTCCGATTCAATTCCGGTCAGTTTTTATATCTGATCAGGATATCCGATTAAATTGAATCGGGTACTTCCGGTCATAATAATATTTCTTCAGATAAACCGAGCAAAAAATTATGAACCGATATTTCTCATTAAATGTGACCGGATACAAAAATTCATCGGTATTTTGATCGGAAATATCCATTTGCTAATTTTTTATCAGATAATTTCTCTCAATGTGGTTAAAATCCTAGTTATTTAGTCGGAATCCTACTTATACGGTCACGTCAATTTTTTTCCGGAAAAAGCTTTTTCTAAAAATCTTAAAGCAGTATCCCGATTGGTTCTTCAGCTTAAGTTTGCGCCGTACACCTACGATTATAGTAATTCATGTACGCGCGCGTGCAAAAGTCTAAGTAAACGACATAAGAGGTTTTGGTTTCTCGCTCATATTTGAGGGCAGTTTTCACAACTTTAGTTAACTTTAGTGAGCAATCGACAATGAAACATTTTTCGATTGATCTTCTTCGAATCAATCACTTGGATTGAAACATATTTGTTCTCATGAATTATTGAATTGAGAAAAAGTTTAGATTTTTACCTGTCTTGATTGATATTTAGTCCCCGTCAAAAGTAGCCGCGACTAACGGAACATCAACACACCATGCTCTAAAATTGCCGACTAATAATTAACGAATACTTCCACTGGATGAGTAAGATACCTGTCGAGGACGTACTTGTCATGTTGCACAGACACAATGGCAGACTACGGGACACATTTTCAAACAAGAAGCGATCGTGCCAGCAACTTTGGGATAACCCCGACGACGATCGGGAGAGTTCTCTCTTGCGGCTCTCTTGCAAAATCAGTTCGGTCGGTCACGTGCTCACCCCGTCATCGCGCTCATATCGTATCGGGCGATTGGTGATCGCATTAGCGCGCGGCGCGAATTCAGTTTCACCGTGTCACATCGGATCGCTTAACGCTCGCGTTCGTCCAGTCGGATAAAGTGTTATCGACGCGACGGATATACATTGTAATATACACCGGTAAACTCATCGTCGGGTCTCGCGCGGCCCTACGCGCTGCATGCGTGCACTACGCGCTCTCTCGATTCGAGTGCATCGCCGTCGTCGCGGCCGCGGTGGTCGCCGAGTCGGATCACGAACGCACACGATACTCTCGCGACGTTCTCTCTCGTCGCTCAGTCATCGCTCGAGTCGGCACACGTAGCATGGAGAAATGTCGGGGAACGCTGAAGAAGGTATGTGCGCTGAAAGTGGTATGCGCGCACGATGGGACCTGCCCCGTGTAATTTTTACCGGTAGTGCGTGCCGCCGAGCGCGTGTGTGGCTACGTTCCGGACGTTTCGAAAGAGAATCGAACCGGTCCACGAATCGGCGCGATCTTCGACGGTAGTGGATGGTATTTGACGTGTGCGTCGTGTGCGTGCGGCTCTCTATGTGCCGGATCGCTACGCGAGTTTCATAAGACCGGCACTCTCAAAAGATGGAAATTCTTCCATCTCTGTGCTGTGAAGTTCTCGGCTGGACACGGATGATACCGTAAAAGAAAGTATCGATGTACGTGCAAGGTGGGATAATTGCCTGAAACGTCACGATACCGAAATCTGCGTACCGAGACGATTTTTTGGAATATAATTTTACCAAAATATTATTATTATTATTAGATAAACTGAACAGAGAAACGGGGAACTTTCTCTTACAGAAAAAAACATTTACTATGCTAAAAATAAAAATGACATTAGTTAGCAGTTATGTGAGAATAATTCAACCAAAAAATTATGATTCTTTTTAGTTTTTGTCACCAATGAATAATTAATTTTTATACGATTTTCTATATAAAAATAAAAAAGATTCGAGCCTGATGAGCTCCTAAAATTAATGAAAAAACAATTTCCATTTTTTACTAGTTGTGCTTTTTTTACCCATTTTTTAACATATTAAACTTGTCAATAAATACACTTAAAGAGAAGAAAATGCTTGACATCTTGAACGATTGCGAAAGCCTCAGTGCTATCTTTGCTTTTTAAATCATGTATGAATTTTTCATCTTTATTTTTTTTCGAAACGTGGTTAATGTACGTAAATTAAATTCTTGCATAACTACAATTGAGCAACATCGAGGAGCAACATGAGTCGTCCAATGTGAAAACTCATCCGATAGAGGAAACGATGCAATTGACATATTTGGCATGTCTTACAATATTTTCAAGAACAAATTATGTAGATTATTTTTTGTTTTTTTCCAGATTTTGTTTAGCTCAACAATTTTCTTTTATTTGTAGCATAATATTAATCTTTTATTGTAATAATTAATTTTTTATTGTAAAGAGGGAAAATTTCGTTTTTCCTGTTTACTTTATTGAACAATGATAATGATAGTATCTACTCACTTGAATACAGTAAGAATATACCTAAATCGGTAAATAGTCCTGACAGTAATACTAAGCGCTTCCCGGACGTATTGATGTAAACTTCATTCATATTTACTTTCAAAAACTCTCTCAACCCTTATGCATGAAAACTGCATTAAAAAAAGAAACAAGAGAACAATGACTACAACTTATTATGAGTGATTTAATAAATTTTTACTCAATATTTTTTTAATAATAAATGCGTCCAACACACATCAAATAAACGTGCGTCAGGGTTAATGCATCTGCGTTTACTGTTTTCGCTATACTAGTCCTACTTCAAAAAAAGAATTATATACTTTGGCAAGATTATGATTTGGAATTTTATCTCGGTATTTCTTCGGGTTTCAATATTGCGACTTTTCCGGAAATTGTCGCTGTCTTAAAATTTCGAGATCTTAATTTTGTAGGACACTGTATATCCACCAATTCGTGTTACTGATGTTTTAGATCGTTCTTTTACTGATGGTAAAAAATACTGACGTAAAATATAAAATGTGGAATCATAAAAAGTTTACTTATCTTGTTATGGCTTTTTAACAGATCCACTGTAGAAACTTGTTCGCTATAAATAGTATATTTTTTTTCGTTTTATTCATAATAACACTTTATGCATACGTGGACCAATTATTTTTTTCTTATATATGTGAACATTTATATATATATATGTGTGTGTGTGTGTTTTTATATATAGTTTTGACGTTATTCTTACATAATTCTGATATTATTAGTTCTTAACTAATACCTGGTGACGCAATATCTAAGAAAGTAGTAAATTTATAGTATGAAATTTTTGCGTTTTTTGTAACTTCTAATAACTACGCGTGAAAATATCAAAACAATATTATATAAGTGTTATATATGCAGATACATGCAGATTAACATCTTACGACAGATACAGACATTATTCGTTGTCTAAGTGAATTGTATTGTGAGCCTGTTCGGAATGGAAAGCGGCCGGTGCTTTGGGTGAAACGTTCCTTTAAAATAGACGCATGCGCCTGACGCAACGCGGAACGCGGGAATTCGGCTCACGTTACCACTTACGAGCGTACGGTAATAGAAAGTGTTTCTTCGGTTATTGCGCTTTAACAGTGTGAAGGTAATACATGAGCTCCGGACTTCCAAGGATCTCACGATGAAATACACGCCGTTTCCAGCAGAACGATCGGCATTGCTATTTAAATATGAGACCGCCGCGGCATGATAAACACGACACGACATCGTGCCTTTACGAGTCACTCGCTGTGACAAAAAGCTGCTTTAAAAACACGGTGTAAAACGTGATCTATCACCGCAAAATATGTGCAAATATATGCGATCGTTGCGAAGTGATTGGAGATGACCATGGAAAAATTTGACTTTGCGTCTGCAACAAAACCAATAAACAATGACGTGCGAAATGTTCATTAAATATTCCTCATGGACGGAAGTTATTTCCGAAATCAGTGAAATGTAAAACGGACCAACAAGATATTTCCATTGAGAATCAATAAATACTCACTGATTATGGATAGTGGTTTACTGTTTCAATTAGTACTATTTTCACTAATTGTCTTGAAGAGATCACAGAAATACAGAAAATTGGATTTGGTATAGCGTACAATAAAGGAGATTGCTTATTTTTGCTCACAAACGGATTTTGATGAGATATATATCCTTGAAAAATATGAGCCCTTAATTCCAAAAAGCCATTTTTTATTTAATTCTGAACAACGTGACCGAAGTTAGAGGATGTCAAAACATTATAAGTTGGGATATTTGACTTTGGATAATAATATTGACAGGAATCGGTTTAAACTAACTAATATGATTAAAACAGGAAGAAAGAACAAAAGAAAAAGATGTTTCGATTAAAAAAATAATTAAATAAGCGCGTAAAAAGTGAAATATGAAAGAAATATATATGAAAGAACGTAATCACAGTATGGCGGTTTTTTTTATACAACGGAGTTACAAATTAGAAAATGTATGACATATAAGAAAAGTATTTAAAAAATTATTCGCTGTCACTGCCTGTTGTTTGCGGTCACTACAAAGAAGTGGCTCCCGTCACGGATAATCTACTTAATTTATGACCTTCATCATTGATTGGATGAATTATATATAGATATTTTCAACATATCTATGACCTTTGACCTAACCTCTAGGTCAATAGCGGTGACAGTGCATTCCTCCCATCGACGTCGATCATATAGATCCCTAAAGTAATTAAACAAATCAACTTTAGATGTTGATATCTCAGGACAAAAATTTCAAGTCGCTATGAGTTTGGTACATTGGACTCTTCTCGATATGCTTTTACTTGATACTTCCCTTATAGAAATTTAATACTGATAAGTGATAATTTGGCCAGCGATAATTACTGTCGTTCAATAATTTTATTACTCGTACGAGTAATAAAATTACTATTTATTACTGGCCAATTTATCACAGCCAGTGATACTTTTCTATAAGGGTTGTTTCATCCAATTCCGTTTGTAGACCAAAAACCTCCTATTTTGAGCAATCTTCTCTGTGTATTACACATTTTGCAGTTTTACTTCCATTGGCCGAAATCTGCAGGAAGTGAAACGGAGTAAAATGGTAGTGTTTTCACAGAAATTAGTGAATATTCACTGATTATCGGTAAAATAGTCATTTTACTAATTTAGCCAGAATAATTTTTGCTGATTTACTTCAAAAGAGTAGAAATATAGACCTTACCGACAGTCTATTTTTCCGTACTAGAAACATAGTAAAATTGAAAAAAATTCATATGAAAGAAAAACTACAATATTTTCTTCATAATTATTTTTATTATTGCACTTTGTTAACACCAGTGTCATTGCACTTAATCTTCTACTGGTGTGGAAAACAATATGATATGAGACAGAGCAGTAAAGCAGTGGAGACGATTACATTGAAAATCAGTAAAAACTCATTGATCATCAGTGAAATGGTCTCTTTACTGATTTAATAAAAACATTTTTACTGATTCACTTTAAGGAAGTATCACTAACAAGAAAAATGTATTATGAAGCCACTGACAATACGAACGAAGTTATTCCCTCGAGTGCGGTTTTCCTTCGGGTTCTGAAAAAAATATGACTTATACGAACGTATGTTAATGATAACCTGACAAACAGTTTTTAGAAACGAGGATTCAGGATTTACCGACGTTACGCTAATACTGCATATCATGAATGAAAAGTTTCGCAATTTACGTTTCGCAATAGTACTTCGAAAGATTTATATTTGGCCTTTTTTGGAAGTGAAACTGACAATGGGTGCATAATAAAAATAATTACATTGAGAAAGAAATTAAAATAAAAAAAAAACATATCTTTTTAGTAAATTCTTTTCTCAGTGTAAAAAAACCGGTTTTACGGTACGATCCAAGAAAATATATATATATATGTCAGGTATCATTTAATCACGACGGTGCCCACGCAAACTGATTAGCATGAATCAACATTCAGAATCCACTTGACAGGTTTCCAGTATTGCAATAAGTGCCGACAGCATGTCTTAATCGTCGACCTTTACTAACGCACTCGCTTGCACGATATTTACCGGTGTGCGTAAAATAGAGGTAACTCTCGCGGACGTTTCACAAATGAGACCGTAAAAGCACAGCTTACGTTCTCAGAGTTGCTTGTTCCCCCGCGTGATAGCTTGTTGCCGGGAATCCCAGCGAAATCGTGATCGAAGGCGTGTACGCATCATTCGAATTTGTGCATAGGTCTCTCAGCGAGCCCGGAGATCGAGCTGCTGCTGTCCAGTCGCATACGTGGCGACATGCCTACGGGCGTATGCATGAAAGCTCAACCTGGTGAACGGAGTGCCACGGACGAGCCGTACCACCGAGCTGACGTCTCGTCGTCGTCGTCGTCGTCGTCGTCAAGGCCGACGTCGCAGGATAAATACATGAGATCAAGTCGTAACGCGCAGGTCGAGGAACCCTCGGGCAATTCGGGCGCCGCGATAACGCCGCCATCGATTACCGTAAACGACGCCGTGGAAAATGACGATCCGCCACCTTACGTCGCGATCCCGCCGCCTTACAGCGCGATCGCGCCACCGAATCACGTCGGCTGGCCGTATGGTCCTTTCTCATTCGGCAACTCGTATTCCACGGACGCATCGCCCTACACAGTGGAAATGCCGTTGGCGCCTTTCCAAAGCTCTCGAGCGCCCACGGCTTTCCATCCCGAGGAGACTAACCGCCGACACATGTCGCTGCCCTTAACGCCTTACCGGTTCTTCAAGTTCGGTTACCGCAGCGGCTTGAGGGAAAGGTTGCCCGCGGACGACAGGATCACCGAGAAAATCGAAGACAGGGGATCACGAAGTGAGTGAATCGACGATCAAATTTGTAGTCTCTTTTATTGTGCTATGTTTCCTTCGATTTATTGCTCGTAAAACGTCGAACGTCTTGAACTTCATTATTGTCGGAAACTAATCAACAACAATGTCGATTTACAAATTTTAATTTGAAAGATCGTTTTCTTATCTCGAGAAAAAGAGAGAAATCTTCTGTTAGAGATAAAGTAACCGCGAATAATTTATGAAAATGATGACTACGTGACTAAGCGATAAACATGACGTGATATCGTGACTTTTGATTTAAACTTTAGACACAACTATTAACAATTATTTATAATTTTGATTGAAGATCAGAAATATAATAGAACTAAAATAGAAATATAGGATAAAAAATAATTGCATTAGTCTACTTCACGTCATATCATGTAACTTTTGATCAAAGATCATATGTATATATCAATAACACAATTGTCTACTCAGACGCTCATTTATAATCTCGATTGCATTAGAAAAGAAGATGGAAATTAAAAGAAAATAAAAGATACAAAGGTTCGCTGGATGAAAGTTAATAATAACGTTGCATTAGTCTGCTAGAACTAACCATTGTGACAAGTGGACAGATTCTAAGATAAATGTTCCCGGCAGAATACGGAGCTATCCTTATGGCAGCAGCGGTCATCATCTCTCTCATGGCCTTGTCCTTGATGGTGCGTTTCATTATGGAGAAAAGTTGGTGGCGGGGATGACAAATCGTCATTGGAATCGGCACTCACGTCGACATCATAAATCATGACCTATGAGACATCTTTGTTAATCTGAATTAATTTATTTGATGAATTATTGAATCTGTAATTAAACCTTAGTTAAGGTGACCAGATTTTCCAAACCCAGATCTACGACCTTTCATAAATGTGTGAAGCGAAGTGGAGGAAGAGGAGACAGATATATCACTAAATATTACTTATATATATACATATAAAACCATATTTTATTCATAGACATGTGAAAAATAACAACAGTGAAAGCTTACTGTATAGAGTAAAAGTAGAACCTGTCGTTAAGATAAAATTTTTGTTATCCTTATTTAAAATTAGGAAGAAGAAGCAAAATTGCTGTATTTACTAGAACTGTGAATTTTCTTGAGAAGATTTTTTTTGTCAGAAGAATTTTAAGAATCCTCTAAGCCGGGATAAACCGGGGTACTTTGACCAAATCTCAGTTAGTGTATGAAAAAATCTAGAAAAATTCAGAACAAAAGAAAAACGAGACGTCTGGTCACCTTACTTCAATGCAATGTAAAAAAAATTGTTTTCGATCAATTTCGCGAACGTGTTTATCTCTACACATGTTTACTCTGCACGTGTTTATCTCTACATTAGGAGGAGAGAAAAATTTATATTACGTCAAAGTTAGATGTTTTCAGTTCCCGACCTCTTCCTATTTCGATAGCACAATCACGCGGTTTGTTCATTCTTCAATAGAGAAGTTGTGAATACGCATCAGCGAATAATGATCATATTAAAGACGCACTTATATTAGTACTATGTAATATCTTTATATCGTAGAGCAGAGGTTAGAGCAGAGGTTATCGCAATGTTTCGTGCGAACATAAAATTTTTTAATTCTCTTTCTAACGCACGATAACGTTTCCTCTAGAAGATAGAATAATATACGAGTACATAACAAATATAAGTTTATTTTATTGGATATGATAGTTGTACGTTAAGATAATAATAACTGATATATAATGATAAAATGATAGATAATATAAATTTTGATATTGACAAATATACATATGTATATGTATATAAGATAAAATGTATATGTATATATGTATATATCGCGACTTGTGTCATAATATTAAATACGTGATTAAATATCAAGTGTGTTTCAATGGCCGCCACGATTTTGTTGTTTGGGGGATACTCATGTTAATGAAGTAATATGAGTCCCTCATTGGCTTTCGTCGGAATGCTATTATAATCCTAATTACGTTTAACAGTTTTGTCGGGCCACATTGTCACGCCGATAACGTCAGCTTTGTGGCCATATTCGAAATAGCGCTTGTGCCCCTCAGACCAATTTCCAAGCAATGCGCCGCGGGGGAAATTAAGTGGTATAAAATAATTCACAGATGACACCCTCGGTGTTTTTCTATTTACACGGAAGCTCATCCGTACACATGCATGAATCATTCGCGCATTACATAAAATCAATACGTGAATTTGTTTAAACATTTCTTAGGGTTGATATAAAAGGTGCGCGGAAATCTAGATGAGTATTGATATCGAATGTAGTTACTTAAGGTAAGCTGGAAATTTTATCGTTAAAACAACTCTTCTATTATATTAAGGAATCTATAAATGACTTCGTTAATTTATACAATTATTTTTATCGATAAAACTAATCGGAATGACCTTAGCGACGTATCGTATAAAGCTCATTATTATTTGTTAAGCTTATTATCCATTTAACGTAGAAACTTTAGCGCTTATTGGCCCGATGGGACGCAGATGACGAAGCAATGGGTTGAAGGGGCTCGACGTGGCGGAAGAGAAGGTAACTGAGTAGTAAAGTTAAGAAAAGGAAGGGTAAATAGAGACGCTTATAGTGTAGTGATTAAAAATACAGACTTGCGTCTCTCGAGAATAGGTGATTAGAAAAGTCTGGATATCCTGGGAGAGACACACGTATACTCGTACACGTGAAAGTTTTTAACTGAAAGTAAATTCTCAACGCGAAAGCGTAAGCGAGTAAAATCACGAGTAAAGGTGATAAGTAGACTTTTAACGTCTTTTATTATTCGAAAATTTCAAACAACATCCTAGTAGAAATTGAAGAAATTGAAGTCTCGTCTAGCCACGAGATAACATATCATTACCGGTATTTATCATTACCGATGTTATAATACTCACTTATCCTCAAATTAGTTGATAATTAAACGAACAAAAATTATTTTATTAATTATTTTTCAATACTAGTGGAGATATAATAATTAAATTATATATTTTAGAATAAAATAGTATCATCTGCTCTATCATATTTGATATGTAATGGCTAGACAACGGTTAAACTCGATTCTATATTTCAGTGAATAATGTATCAATAATTAATAATAAGTTAGAAAATTTACTATTACCTGTTACTGCATACGGAAAATACATACTGCATTCAAGTAAATGTTACTTGTTTGAAGTATTTCAGAAATTTATATATCCGCAAATCTATCATAAAAGCTTATCATAAGCAATTTGTTTAAAATACATTTTAAATTCTAATAAATTCAGCATTGTAATGAAAAATATTAAATTAAAACTTAAAATTAAATATTAAATTAAATTAAAAATAATATTAAATTAAAAATTAAAAATTCGTTTTGCTTACTGCACAGAATTGAAACTAACTGTCCCGAAGATAAAATGTTATGATATTCTTGCAAATAAATTTTCTTTTTGAGTATATCATAATGAACTTTCCTAAAACTTATCATTAATGTGAGTATATTTTAAGGTTTATCTTTGAACTTATTATCAAACAAATATTCTTTATTGAAGAAAATGGAGGAAAGTAAACTGAGTAATCGCTTTTCTTAGCAATAGAATGATATTTTTCTCCGTATAGCTTTTGATTTAGGCCGGCTAGTTATATTTTTACTCGGGTAGATGCTTAGAGACGACTAAATATAGACGAATGTAGTTTTAATGCGTTTTTTACGTTTTCAAACTAAAAGATACCAGGCGTGTTTATCTAAAATTGCTGTGCACTCGGGTTTCGTCGAAACTTTCATTAATTTGAGCATTTGCAATTCAAATCCGTGGTTCTTCTGGCCAACACTTAAATATGCAAACGGCCATGCTCTGCGTATTATTTTCGTGGTACGTTAAGACGCGAAATTGCACGCGCATACAATTTTTGCGAGGCTTTGAAGTGCGGGTTTTTTGTTGAGAGAATGCACGATAATAAAAGGGCCTCATAAAACAAAAGGTCGATTCTCCTCGGCCAGTGGTTTGCGCAAGAGCCGAAGAGGATCAAAGATGATAGAAGCTTAATGCAGGAGGAGAAGCCTCAAGGACGAAAAGGAACGTGGGCTATAAAGCCAGACAAGTTAGCGAGCGACCAGAGAGCAGCGAGGAAAACGAAGGGTCGGAGGGCTGATGAAAAATACAAAAAATTCTCTCTCCCTTGAAAGGGTAAAAAGGATGGGGGCGGAGGAGGGATCGTGCTAGGAAAACGATGCCGGGACACTCAAGGCCCGCGAACGAGGGTAAGGTGTTTGTCAACGGTTGCTGGTAGTTAATTACTTTACATGAAAGGAACTTCCAGCCGTTTCGCCACTCGAGGCAACTTCGGTCCCCGCGTGCCACCAACCTCTCTCCCCCTGTTTCCTCTCCCCCTACCTCTCCCTCCTCCCGTCCTGTTTCTCCTTCACGGACCTGAGAGTGCTACCCCCGCGCTCCTCTTCCTGTCATCTATAAGAGTTTACGAGTATCTAATCCGGGTCGTACTTACTCTGCAAACGAGGCCCCCGCGCCACCCCTCGCGACGACCTCGATAAAAGGGGTGGCGGAGATCTCCGTTCGGAAATGTAGCGCGTCACACTTCGTTTGATCTCGATTGGTACCGAAGCAATCAAAGCAGCGGTTCGACGCGTCGGGACTTTTAATTTGGTAGCATCGAGGTAGCATCCTCGAGACAGTGAGAATATACGGGAGCACTGCTCGTTAGGCCGTTTTGATTAAGTCCTTCTGCGCTTTCCTTACGCCAGCAATTCTTTCCGTAGACAGTAGATTCGCATTTGGCTGAATTTCTTTCTTTTTCGATTTTTGACTAAAGATTTCGTGGTTTGCATCTGACTAGAGAATCTGTCGGTGAACCCGGCGAGGCGAGTTTCCCCAGGAAAAACGACACGACGGCAAAGTCGAGACACGAAAAGTAAAAGTAGCGAAGAACCGGATCTTCGTCTAAGCATTACCGCACACGCACGGAGCAGCTCGCTTCATAAACTATTACTGCAGCTTCTCCAGCAACTGTGTGTCGCGCATCGTCTCTTAAGGTTTCACCTCCTCGGATTTATACGTGCGCCACTGGATCATGAACGTGGACACGGCGCTCGCACACAACATAGCCACACTTACAAGTGCAGGCTCACGGGTGTATTTACGCGCGCCGATAAGTGCTCGTCCGTCCCGTCCATCTAAATTATCCCTCTCCGGGACTTATTCGCTCGTTTCCCGGATTGAATCTCCATTTGTAAGGAGACGAGGAGTAACAGTGTGCGGTGCTCCTCGCGAAAGTGTTTCTTACGCGATTTTATGCGCACGCGGAACTAACTTTCTACGTCTTATGCGCGGAAGTTGTGCAGATTTTAAAACAGCCAATTTTTATCTAGAAATTGAAAGTTTCGTTTCTGGACAGATCCTTTACGTTAGAACATCTGTAATTGTTTGATGTTCTTAGAGAAAAGAGAATATAATGATGGCAATTATATGGATGAGAACTATATGAGTTTTATGTGTGTAAAATTAATATATATATATATATATATATATATATATATATATATATATATATATATATATA